TGAGTCACCATCCCTGGAGGTATTTAAAAGACGTGTAGATGAGGCGCTTAGGGACATGGTTTAGTGGGCATGGTGGTGTTGGGTTGACGGTTGGACTCGATGACCTTAGAGGTCTTTTCCAACCTTAATGATTCTGTGATTCTATGATGCGCTCATAAAGCTCAGAGAAGAATGTAGGGAGTGACCACAGCTATGGTAAAGGAAGCTGAACTTATTCCAACACCAAGGGGACTGGAGAGTGGCCTTTGTTGCAGATAAATGGCAGTATCAGTTGAGTGGGTCAACTGGTTATGTACGTGGCCTTCCTAAAATAAGCAATAGAAAGTATTATCTTCCTGAGCCAGCCAGACCAACATGGGGGAAGCGTATATGTGGCTCAGCTCAACATAGAGTATAAAAATTTAACACCCAGAAAAATGAACTTCGAAGAGAGCAACACGCTTGAGTTGGCTTCAACCCATGTATTCCTTCCCAGCAACTAGGGATTCCCAGCATCTTGACGGTTGCATATAGAGAGCAGTAATGTGAATCCTGTTTGTATTGTGATTCAACTGTATATTGCAATTGCTATATTGTGCTTGTGCTGTGATTTCAGTATATTGCTGTATCACTTTTCTAAACCAAAATCCCATGTATCTTCAAATAAGTAAATTTAGCATTAAAACATTAAACCCTCCTCATGTGGAACAGCTAAAAGAACCTGGTCAGAGAGTACTGGACTCTGACAGAGGGAGTCTTTTTGCTAGAGCCCAATTGTTCTTAGGCCTAAAAGAACTGACCTTATCTCTCCCTACATACCCTTGACAGCCCAACCTATCCCAATGAGTCCTGAAAGCCATGACTAAAGGACTTCAGCATTACCTTTAAGACTGTAACAGCTAGGGAGTGTCAGTTAGTGTGTTATCGAGAGAGAAAGAGAGATCTGGACCACACAGAGCCATTTTGGCCTGAGAGGGACTGGGAGAAGAGCCTTGCTCCCAGAATGTGAGACAACATGGACAATAGTCAGCCAGTGAATTCAACAACCCAGAGGGGAGAGAATGTAAAGAGATTTCACACAAAACAGTACCATAGACATCACTACCTAACAGAATGTAAACATCCACCATCAGCCACTTGTTTTGTCTCTCTTTGCAAAAAGAGTCCTACAGAACTAGGATGCACTATTAAACAGGCAACAGCAAATAAACATTAGCCAAAGTTGGAATAAGAATCAAATCAATTTAAAGTCATTGGGTATTATGGCTGTCTAATATACTTATAAAGGGCCAAAGCTGCTGGCAGTGGAACTAAATAATCTGCATCATTCTTACGTTATTTCACTGCATGAATTTTTTTTTCCTAGAAATACAATAAATATACAGAGAAGGTACGCATTTCTCTCTTCCTCTTCACTAAACAGCTTACACTGTTACCTGTCTGCTTTGTTATTTATTTCAAACAACTGTATCCCTTTTCCTCTCAGAAATAAATGACTTGGTGGCTGTTAATTAACATGTGGCAGGCTAGAAAAGACAACCATATATGGGATGCCTGTCCCAGCTACACAGTTATTCTCCTTGTCCACCTCTCTCCCCCCACTTCAGAAACCCTGCAGTCTTCATAGTCTTACCATGCCATGTTCACTTCAATATGGGCATCCAAAATTGCAACAACATCTGCAGTTGATGCCTCCCAGCCAGAAATCCGGGCTTGTGTTAGGCCTTGTCTTTTCTGATGTCTGATGATCTTCATTATTCCAGGTTGCTTTACATTGTAATTTTTGATGTGCGTTTCCAAAGGTCCTTTCAGATCATCTAAAACCAGCCCCCACATTTTAATGATAAAAAAAAAAAAAAGAGTTAATCAATATTAAGATATGGAAAAGATTATGTAGGTAATGGCTTTCTAGCTTCTCCCAGTTCCAGACTGAAACCTGATTTGTTCTTTGCAATAGAACAGGTAGAACTATTCAGGTACTCATGAATTCAAGAGGCTTATTTTTAAAACCAGCTTCCATTCCAGGAGTTCAATTAAGTACCTAAATTTCATTTACATATAGTGCTATTGTATGGCTTCTAAATTGTACACAAATACATCAGTATGTAGAAACTTTAGATGTGTGCCATAACAGCAACCAATTAGTGGTCTTAGTGCAGTAATTTCTGTGTGTATCTTCCACCATGTGGAAAGGAAAAGAGAAGCTAAACAAGCCCTGAAAATGTGAAATGCTCCTATAAGAGCTGTAGGCATGCCGACTCCCTCACCAAAGAAAAAAAATAGCGTCAGAGAAAAGGAATAGAAAGTTGGGACCCCTTAGCATCGCTTTGGAAATTCACTTGAACTCTTGCTCCACCCAAACTGACATGTTTTTCTAGCAGCTACAAAGCCTTAGAAAAATGAGAAATCAAACACATCTCATCAGGCAAGGGGAAAAAAAAAGAGCACCCTTAAGATCAGGGGCATGACTGTTTCTTAGAGATGATTTTACAATGCTTTGTTCAGCTCAATTTTAAGGGCTATGATGCACCCACTGCTTCCCCTAGGAGTATTTTCCACAACCCAAGACACCACTCTCCGAGGAGTTATTTCAGATACCTACAGAGATAGTTTTCTTAGCATGCTCTTACTTTGGTACTGTGCCTGATGAGCCAGTAATAATAAATACTCTCCCACTTCAATTTTTAACCTTTTCAAATACTTGCAGAGCATCATCCTGTTATTAACTGCCTTCTTCAGGCTATTAAGGTGTTTGGGCTTTTTTTCCTGTACTCAATTTACTTCTTAATTTTAAGCAGTCTACTCTGTGTGCACCCAAAAAGCCACCAACATTCATATAACACAATAGCGGCATAGATTAGCAAGACTCCTGCCTTCCCTGGGTCACTTACCATTTGAACTGTAATCATCTACCAGGATGATTTCTTTCAATAAATGAGAAGGTGTTCTGTTAAGTATACTAGTAATTGCACGTAAGATGACTGACAGTGCTTCATTCATAAATATAAGTACAACACTGAGTGTTGGAAGGTCTTTCGGATATGTTTTCATTTTACAGCTGTAATAGAAGAAGAACAACTTTAGCAGAGTTTCTAAAGAACGCCAGAGAGCAAGGCAGCTGCAAGAAGGCAGAATTAGGATGTTTGGCCTAAAACTTATAGTGAAAATCAGCATAAGAGGAAAAAAAGGAATTCCCAAATCAAAGTTTCATTTTTTATTTGAGTTGCATTATGTATGTATATAAACCATTTGGGTAAAGTTAAAATTTCTGTTAAAACAATAAGAAAGAACAATTACTGTTTCTCCATCCAAAATACTTATAAAATATTGAAACTAAAGAATACAGTTGACTCAGCTAGGGATGATTAGCTTACAAGGCAGTGAACATGCGAGTGAAATTTGGCTTTTTCATTTACAGAAGATGATGACAATAGCCAAACCTGACAGCAGACAAAAGCAAATTAGACAATGATCCCTTTGTATGTGCAATGAAGAAGAACAGGGTAGAAGAAGAAGAACAGCTATACTTAACTGACATGGGAGAAGGATTCCCTTGGACAAGGGATGTCTTTAGAAATTCTTGAAAGAGCTTCAAAAATCCTTCTTGCGGAGTAAACCAGGCCTTGTGGAACTCCATGCTACCCCAGAATAAATTGTTTCCAGTACTGAAACAAACTTGTTTTGTGCTAGCTTGAATACTTCTGGACTTCCTGCTTACTGTCAAAAGATTTTTTATTTATTTTTAAGTATATATTTGGGATATTTGTCAGCTCTGCTAATTAACCTCCTGGCCACCGGGCAGATGGTGAGGACTGGGTCTTCTTCATAGCGCTAAGCACTAACTCCCTCTAGAGCAGACAAGAGCGCATAGCTGGATTCTCAGGCTGATCATTCCCTCCCCTTAGAAACATGCTCATGAAAGCAATACTCAGACTGCATGAGTTGTGTGGCTACATAATGCAGCTCTCTGAGACCCAGGCTTATGCTCCAAGTAGACCTCTACAGTGGCAATTGTGCACGAATGGATAGCATTTTTGTTGGAATTTCTCCATTAGCTTTATTACCCATTAGTGCAAGAGCCTGAGTGGATATCTCCAAAAGGCAGTCTCTGCAAATACATCTTCACAGCAAAGCAGAAGAGCACCAGGCACTGCAGCCATTCTTCAGGACCACACAGACTAATCATGCACTTGCTCCAGCCACCTCTGCGGTGGCTACTCCAGACAGTTCTCCCCAAAATGATCCCCCAGCAGGGTGGGCATCATTCAGCTCAGGGCTGCCTCAGGGGGATCCGTGGCTGGCTCACCACTTTGTGCCCTCACACAACTCCACACCCTCTGCCTGAGCACCCCAAGACACGCTACGCAGAAAGCCCCCTCAAACTCACTCTGGAAGTTCCTACACAGCCCTCACACTTCTTCAGGCACTATGAACTGAGAAACGCGTTCAAACTGTCATTATGTCCCAGAGTTATGGCTTGATCCAAGACCCGGAGGACACCCACAGTCAAGGGCAACGTATTACTGTCTGCACTAGATGGAACCAGCTCCATCCAAGCAGTATGATGAGGACTCAGTTGCATAACCTGCTCTTTACATCTTCCAGAGGGCTGCCAGTAAGACAACTCCCCTTTTCCCAAGTGCGACACTGTTAATTCATGCCCAGTTTGCAATCCACTCTACCCCCCACCCCCTTTTCTGAAACGCTCAGTCAGATTTGTACAAGTGACCATAGGTACAAAGGTGTAGGCTTGCAGTGTATCTGTGACATTCTGCCACATTTACACCAGTTAGTTCCTGTAAAGCTTACACAATTTATTGCAAAAGATAATAGTATCTTAATATACTATACAGAAAAAAATGTGCTTGCTTTTTTAACAGATACTTGTTCCTAATGAGGATTTTAATGGTTACTTATGCCAGCTCCCATAGTATGACTGGTCTGCTTAAAAAATATTATCTATTGGCTTCAAGAACCAACTAATTCCTGGAAAAATCCCTTAAGCTTCCTCTTACGAAGTGGACTACTTCTCTACACCTTAATCCTTTAGATGTTTACCCCACTATATTTTCCATGTAATTAATCCTCAGACTATTTGATAACTTGAGAGGGAAACAGAGAGAGAAAATACGGCTATTAGGAAACTCACGAGGTCACCGGTCCATTATGGCTATGCCTACAACACTAAAGATAAGATAAAGATAAGATCCTTCTTCACTACAGGAAGGACGTTGAGATGTTGGAGCATGTCCAGAGAAGGGCAACGAGGCTGGTGAGGGGTCTGGAGCACAAGTCTTATGAGGAGCGGCTGAGGGAGCTGGGGTTGTTTAGCCTGGAGCAAAGGAGGCTGAGGGGAGACCTCATCGCTCTCTACAACTACCTGAAAGGAGGCTGTAGCGAGGTGGGTGTCGGTCTCTTCTCCCAAGTAACTGGCGATAGGACGAGAGGAAACCGTCTCAAGTTGCACCAGGGGAGGTTTAGATTGGATGTGAGGAAAAATTTCTTTACTGAAAGAGTGGTTAAACATTGGAACAGGCTGGCCAGGGAAGTGGTTGAGTCCCCATCCCTGGACGTATTTAAAAGACGGGTAGATGAGGCGCTTAGGGACATGGTTTAGGGGGCATGGTGGTGTTGGGTTGACGGTTGGACTCAATGATCTTAGAGGTCTCTTCCAACCTTAATGATTCTAGGATTCTATGATTCTATGAATCTTCCCTCACCCTTCAAGGGACTCACAGGCCAATAGTTAGTTCCAGCCACCTCTCCTGTTTGATTTCTAATAATCTTTTAATAAGCAGTATAGGTCTGCAACATAACTAAGAAGAACAAGCATTTTGTTAAAAAGAACAGAATTTTACAATGTAGGGGGTTACTTGTTCATTGATTATATTTTGGGGGTTTGCCAAGGGGGGGGCGGGTTTAAAAAACACCACTTTGGATATTCTCAGCATATAAGAGGCTTACATAAGACAACGTAAGAGACAAGAGAAAGCATGCTTCAGATGTCCTGAGCTTTGGGCCTTAAATAGAATGTAAACAGACCAGAAGGTCTCATATCTTCTGAATACTAGGGCTAGTTTTTCCCCTTTTTACTGACAGTTAGAAGTCCTATATCAAATATAATGTTAACATTATATTATTTTTCCTAAGTGCCTTCTCTACACCATGACTTCTTTTCACAGTCTTTGGAGTATTACAAGTCTGAGCAAGATTTGGAAGAAAATGATAGAAAAAAACCCTAAAGAAACAGAGCACAAATTGAGATCTGTTAGTAGATTATTTTAACTTAGTCCAAAGCAATGCGGATCCCTTTCCCTTTAATTTCATGCCTCCTTGTGAATGTAGAGAGGGCTTATACTGCACCTGGGAGATCTGGTGTCTCTGATAGGTCGATCCAGAGGTAGACGATCACTGAGGTAAACATTATACCCATAACTTAAGAACAGATTCTGTGCAAGAGTTTGCTCCTCTTCCCTTAAATCTGCACCCCAGCGTTTGAACAAAACTGAGTCTGGGTACAGCAAACGGTGTGCAATGTTTTTTTCCTCCTTTGCATTGTCAGCTTTGCGTACTTGGACTCCAGTCTTGGAGTTATCTTGCAGCTTCAGAACATGTTCTATTTGTTTTATATCTTCATGGAACGCTTCCACTGATTTTGCTGATTGAAAATAAAAAAGGATTTATTATAACAGCAATTGAGAACACTCTCCATCATCATAACTGAACCAAATTCTCCTTATAACACTGCAGGTCAAGAAATCCGTGAAGTTACAGCTAAACTGATATTTACATGAGAGTAGCATCAGACACTCTGTCTTACATGAGAACAGTTTTTTAAACGTCACGTTTCATAATACCCTGCATCAGATTCTGCTCTCAATTGCACAAGTGCAGAGCAAGGGACACTGCACTGGCATCAGTGGAGAAATCTGGGAGCGAAGACAACACACAAATTGTTAAATTGGGCTCAAATAATTTCCATGATGTTATGCTTGAGTTACATTAATGTATTAAGGATCCATAACGGGATTCCCATCTAAGTCAGGTTGTTGATACCATATTGATCTTGAAGGTAAATACAGTAAATGAGCACTTTGTCATCTCCTTTAATAAGCTTACTGGAATCTTTTGACTTCCGCTTAGAAAGATTTAAACTGGGTGAACTCCAATCTTTCAAGGATTTGTTAGGTACACAGTGTTGTTCCATAAAGAAATGGCACAGATAGCCTATGTGAGGTGGTTTAGGACATATTGTTCTTGAAGGTAAATACAAAAAAATGAGCCCTTTGCAGCATGTTTTGAAAAGCTTATTGTCAGTTTTGACTTCTGCTCTATCAGAAAGCTTTGAAGTGAATCTGATCTCTCAAGGTCTTGTTAAGTTTACAATATTGGACTGCACCATATAAAAAAGGCACAGAAAACCTGTGTGATTTAAACCTTTCTACAGTTAAATTATTGTCTTGGTGAAAGAGGGGAGAGGAGTGGATGTTGTTTAAACTCAGATAAGGCTTCTGACCCTGCCTCTCATGCACAAGCTGAGGAAGTATGCACCAGATAAGTGGATAGGAAGGGTGATTGAACTGCCAGGATCAGGTGGTTTGCGTCAGTAGCACAAAGCCCAGATGGAGGCCAGCCGCTAGTGACATAGTCCAGGGGTCAATACTGGTTCCAATACTGTTTTGGTATGGTCATTAATGACCTTGAAAACAGGGCAAAGTGCACCCTCATCGAGTCTCTGTATGATACCAAACTGTGAGGAGTGGCTGATACACCAGAGTCCTGCTGCCATTCAGAGGGACCTGAAGAGGCTGGAGAAATAGGCCAACAGGGACCTCATGAAGTTCAACACAGGTAGGTGCAGAGTCCTGCACCTGTGGAGGAACAACCCCATGGACCAGCACCAGCTGAAAAGCAGTTTTGCAGAAAAGGACCCGGGGGGTCCTGCTAGACACCCAGTTGAACACGAGCCAACAGTGCACCCTTGTGGCAAAGAAGGCCAACGGTACCCTGGGCTGCATTAGGAAGAGCATTGCTAGCAGGTCGAGGGAGGTGATCCTTCCCCTCTACTCAACACTGGTGAGGTCACATCTGGAGTGCTGTGTCCAAGTTCTGGCCTCCTCAGTACGAGAGAGTCATGGACATACTGGAGCAAATCCTACAAAGAGCCACTAAGATGATTATGAGACTGGAGCATCTGTTATACAAGGAGAGGCTGAGAGAGCCTGAGAAGGCTTGGGGTGAGGGGGGACAGACTTGTTGATGCATATAAATATTTTATGAGAGGGACTAACAAAGACAGAGGAAGAGTCTTCTCCTGGTGTCCAGTGAAAGGACAAGAGGCAGTGGGCATAAACTGAAATACAGGGAATTCCATTTAAACATAAGATTTTTTTTTTTTAAATTTTATTTTTAACTGCTGGAATGACCGAAAAATGGAACAGGTATACTAGATAGGTGGTTAAGTCTCCATCCTTGGAGATATTCAAACCCCAACTGGACAATGTCCTGGGCAACCTGCTCTAGCTGATGATGCTAGAATTAGAATAGACCATCTCCAGAGGTGCCTTCCAACCTCAACTACTATGTGATTCCACGACTAAGTGTTGAAGAATTCAGCTTTCTTTCAAACAGCTCTAAAATAATCGACAAAAACTGTGCTCAACTATTGATGTCCATGAGAATACTGCCAGTGAAGACACTGTCAGCAGTAACAGTGACATTATGGGATAAGGGGATATTAAACGTGACCAAGCTGTACAGGGAAAATTCCTCATCAAGTTCAAGGGTGCCCCAAGTGGCATTTCAAACAGCTAGTTTCAGGCTTGGATGATCGAGACAGATTCTAAGTTTCTTCTTCTGTTCTACCTACCACACATCTAGCTCTAATGCGAGGACATGTGGACAACTTGACAGTCAAAGCAATGCCAGCCAGCAGGGTTCTGGCTGCTTTAGCCCTCCTACCACTGCCATGAGGTGATGAGATTCAAATATCATGAAAGAAGTGGGAAATCAAGGGGTCCAAAGGAAACGGAGGTAGATTCTTCAGCCCTTATTCAGATGGCTCTGTTGTGCCCACTTCCAACAGTCCAACCTACAACAGATACCTGAAAACAAGGTCAAAATCACAAACCCCGCTGTGAGAAAGAAAAGACCCTTTCTAAATTAATATTGCTCATAAACAAGCACATCTGCTGGGATGCTGTTGGCCTTTCACTGTCATGGGATGAGAGAGAAACAGTCCTGACAGCAGATTTCAGCTAATGCTGCTTGGGAACACAGACCAGTCGAGCAGGTGATGCAGAGTTCATCAACGTCTTTTCCCCACAGTAACTCCATTGTGTCTATGCTCAAGGTACACAAAAGGAAAAAGATTCTGTGAGTCTCAGTTCCCCTTGTTGCTCACCCACACAGCAGAGACAGAGGCTGAGGAAATGGGGCATTTCCAGTTTCTCTCAAAAATAGGTTTTTATGGCAAACAAAATAATGACAGGAATAACAGCCACCTGAGATGAGTATGCCGGTACAACCACCACCTTAAAGACTTCTAGAAGAGTTCTAGAGCTGTCTAATATACAAAATATACAAAAAACCACCATGATGACTGCAAAAGACTTTATTGTTTTGTGTGTAAGTAGAGAAGCTATCAAGCCTTTTTCAAGACTACAAGGAGAAGAAAAAAAAAAACCCCACACAAAAACAATACAATCAAAAGTGTCCAGGAAAACCCAAACAAACATTCTCGCTCCTATCTATTATTCTATCCTTCAGGAAATCTCGATACCTAATCCTCAAAAAATTAAGCAGCGTGGCATTTTACTTACAGAGGTTATGAATGGTCCAGTCCAAATGGTCCAGTCTCTGAAGGATGTTATTTTCTCGGTTCAGAGACCGAGAATTAACGTCCAAGGAATCAAGTCTTCCCTTTCTTTGATCTTGCTGTAAGTGCACCAGGTAACACACAAAACCTACGTTTATGAGTAACAGTGCAACTTTATGCCGTCTCTTCCAGGGTGCCATTGTAAGCTTAAAGAAACTCAGCCTTCTGCTGCTGGTTGGAGTTTGTCTGTGGTTCTGGGTCTGCACTGAGTCCTATTCCCAAATGCACTGTTTCAAACTGCCTCTACTTGACTGAGAGCTAAGACTGCTCAGATGAAGTAATTAACAGAGTCTAATGAGTCATAGAACTGATAAGGTACAGCTTTACAGGTGTTTTCACTTGCTACAAGTTATCAATGTCAGAGAAAGCATGCAGCTCTCCCTGGCTTGTGTAATGAGTCACCTGAACTGAGAGAACACCTGGGGTGATGCTGTAGGAAGTGCAGGGCTGTTGGGTAGATTTCAGAAAGCCTGTCATACAACAAAGCACATGTACACACACAAAGACAGTAGGAATAAACTGCAAGCCAGTTCTGTTTCCTGGTCATTAGCAACTGGGGAATTGTGAATCTAATTAAAAAATGCAAAAACACATAAAAATGGGTTTTCCATCAGTTTTTGAGCTGGCTGGAAGCAATTGTGACTGGTATAGGGCACTTCACAGCCCTCTCCCACACAGGTCATGCCTGCAGCTCACCACTGCCAAAACCCTGCCAAGTTATGCCTAGTGCACATACATGAATTTGAAGTAGCGCTCACAACAATAACTAGCATATGGAGCTTTCCTTTCCATAAAAATACCAAGCTTCTTCACGCTTCCCAGCATTGCTGTCCCAATGTGGGTCATTAGCTGGCCACAGTCCCTCAGGGCTGTCCCTGCCCCGGCATGTGTCCCCCATGGGCCACAGTCCCTTCAGAAGTGTCTCCTTCCAAGGGTGCGTCTGCAGCCCCTCAGCAGTCCCCTCTGGGTGTCTCCTGTCTTAAGGGATCAGTTCATGGCCTCTTCCACAACAGAGCAGCCCTACAGCCCCTGCTACAGAAACCCTAACAGTTACGCCAGGTACATACTGCTGTAAACATTACTTCAAATTCACGTCAAAAGTGTATAATCCTTCCCCCCCCCCCCCCCCCAAAACACCAAACTTTAGCCTGATTCATGTGAAAAGTGAAGAACCAAGACTACTGAAAAGGTCTCATTCATTTATTACAAAAATTTTTATGCTACCACCTTTGTATGCTTTTTCAAGAGAGAATGGTGTTTAGGGTGAGTGAGTCCCAGGCTATAACTAGTCATTAAAAGGATAGAAAGAAGCCATAGCAGCACACTGTCACTCTAGTCTCAGCTCTGCCACCAGCCTTCCTTTGCCATTTCATCAGTGTCCTTCAGCTTCTGCCTCCATACCTCAAAGAGGCTGCAGTAACACTATCATGAATTACTCATGAGTTCTTACACCACTTTGAACTCCTTTAAATATAGCAGTCCTTTGATCTCCTCATTTCATACAATGCGTATCCATGCGTACCACTTAGGGCAGGGGGAAAGGAAAAACAGAAAACAGCACGGAGAGAGAGAGAACTACAGAATAATTACTGCCAGTGTGAATGCTCTTCTCAATCGTTAACCATCTGCCCTCTAAGCAACTGAAGAAAGTTTTAAGGCTTCTCAAGTAAGTCCAGAAAGAAAAATTAAGTAAGAATAAAGCAGCAGACAGGAAGATTTAATTCTATGCAAGTCACCTGTTCCAACTTGGAGCGATACACTATGAACAGCGTAATTTAAGAGTTATATTTTCAGCATAAATATGCACATAATTAGCAGTTAAGTCCAAACCAGAGTCGTAACTGCTTAGGATACATAGAGTCTTCGAAGAAACATAAGGTCCAAATCCTTCCCTCTACCCTTAGATGCAGATACTATTCCCACCTACACAAGCTGGTCCTAAAATGCAAGTATCCTCCAGTCCTGCTTGCAAGGGGATCTCAAAAAGCAAAGTGGGTTAAGTTTTCTGCTTTTGCTATCTCCTTCTCCTTCCCCCATACCTACCTCCTTTCATACTGAAAAATTACACTAGCGGTTACCTTCCCAATAAAGGATAAAGGCTATCAATATTTCCCACACAAACTCAAAATATAGAGGTGCTCTAATTTATATGAAGACGACCACTACCATCAGAACAATCTCTCACGATACTCTCCTACTCCTTACAATTTCTCTTCACGTCAGCCAAGATATACTGGTGCCCCAAGGCAGCACATGAACCAAGTTAACTACATTGAGCAGAAGTGTCACTTTTTCCTTTCAGGCTAGCCGAGTGCCAAAAGTGAGAAGTGATGTTTTAGTGACACCTATGCACTGTTTCCTTTTTTCTTCTCAGTCCTAGGGAAATGCATACACTTTCCATCAGACTGTCCAAGGTTGGGTGGGGCGTGTATACATACGTATCTATGTACATGCACACACGCACAGATATATACACATACATATATCTAACATGACTGCCAGTGTGATTGCCTTCACCAACTCTTCAGCCCTTATTGGTCCTTAACCATCTGTCTCCTAAGTGCACACACGCAGAGGCATGCAAATAATTCATCTGGTCCATAAACAGATGCTGCCAAGGGTCCACTTTCTCACAAGACCCTCTAGAGCAGGCTGAAGGTGGGCTATAGATTAGAATATTAGACTATGTGCTGGGAAAGGACCAAAACAGGTTCCCTTTCAGCCAGAGATGGTACCAGTGCCACTGCACCTAGGCTTGTCAATGCACAGTTTTGGGCCTGACCTGAAAACCCCTTTCTGGACAGCCTTCTGGCTGTGTGCAGGCAAGGAACAGAGATGAGAAATGGCAAAGCCTAAGCAGGAGGCAGGCTGCAAAAAGTAGAGGAACCCAGTGCGCTTCAAGATCATTGCCACTTTCTGCTCTACCAGTGACCTCTTGTGGGGAGGGCGGAAAACGACAGCCCCCTCTTTC